TGACACTAGTCACGTGACCTCGCTGACGCAACATTATTATCAGTTGTGATGTAAGATCATACACAATTACTAGTAAACATCATATTTCATTAATTGATGCATTTGACACCCCAACACATTTGTTTTTATGATTGAAATAAATAGCTTTTCAACTAATACTTTGTTAAATTTAAATTACTTTCATAATATTCATTTCAAAAATATGTTTAAAGTTAAACTCACTCAAAAAATTAATTTTAACTAGAGCAAACTTTATCCAATAAAAGATCCTTTTTATCTGTATGTAGCATATGCTAAGATAATTTGTAATAATAAAAACGGGTATAAACAATAAAAGATCCTTTTTATCTGTATGTAGCATATGCTAGGATAATTTGTAATAATGAAAACAACATATGCTACATACAGATAAAAAGGATCTTTTATTGTTTATACCCCTAAGATAATTTGCAATAATGAAAACGGGTATAAAACATTTTGTGAATATCTTACGTAATAGATTATTTTTTATCATTTCTACATAATGTTCTATCTTTGTAAATTTGTAAGATTATGTACCTCCTTTTCTTCTAAAATTGGGCCAATAAAGAGAAACAAATCTGGTATTGAGCAAAACACCTTATCTAGAAACTCATATTACATTAATAAGTTTTTGTTTTTGCCAAAAGCTAAATACAGGATATCTGCACATAGTTGTTTATAATCTAGAGTTGATAGACTAGAGGGAAGGCAGCTGAACAACAGCTCCCACTGCTAGCTCTTAACTGAATGACCAGTGGGAAGGCAGCTGAACAGCAGCTCCCACTGCTAGCTCTTAACTGAATGACCAGTGGGATTTGACCCCACTCTGAAAGTGCACTCATTGTGGCAATGGGACACAAACCATGGATTCAGAGTATGACCAGGCTAACCACTTGGATACTTAACTGGTTAGTAAATAATGATGAATATTATTACTAACTTACTGTGACATATTATTTACATATTGCTAATATAAACCTCTTCCCTACTACTAATTTCACATTGATATTTTACATGCCACTTCTGTGTCACCACGTGCATGACTGTCATTTTGGTTAGAAAAACATGCTAAAATTATTTCATATTCATGAAAGAGGGGAACACTGAGCCCTTGGCTGCAGTATGTTTGTGGTTAACAAGGAAGTCATGTAGATAATGCAACAAGCTCACTAAAACGTTTAATGACTAGTTGTCTGATGTAGAAGTGATTTTTAAAACAAGAAAAGTATAACACTTTAATGCCATAATTTAGCAAGTATTTCACTATTTATACATGATTCCTGCACAAGGCTTTAAGATAAATTTTAGTCAAGTCTTAAGGATATTGCCTCAAAAAAAGCAATATTTTTAAGTAATGCACATAAATCAACAGCAACACCACTTTAATACCTTTTTTGGGGCCATTCTTCAAGTGTAACATATACGTTTTGTAATTTTGAGTTGCTATGTGGTGAGAGAGCTTTGTTTTGTGGTTTTAAGTACGTTATCATCTTAATTAAATGTATACTTCTTTGTTAAGTTTGAAAATTTGTAACAATGAAAACTGTGCTAAATTTGGATGACTAGCAGATATACATACTTTCTAATGCTGGTTGTTTGTTTAATAAATAAGCAGGATTCTTGGAAGATGTTTTATTTTAAAAATTTATGTAAAAGTATGCTGTCTCCTTATTGTCTTTTTCTCTCTATATATTGACTCACTTATAAGATTAAAGACTCCTACGGGTATTTCCTTTGTCTTTTCTCTCAAATTTACAAAAACAACAGGTATTTTGCTTTCCTGTTCTGTATCTTCACTAACTTGTATTTCATGTTACTTTTCTGCCTCTAATTTTGAGCCAGTAGACTAGTGGGAAGGCTAATCACTAATTTTTGGGTTACTCTAATCAGTGAGAACTGACCACTATTTTTATGATACCCATGGCCCCAGAGTAACTGAATGTAAAACATGAACCTTAAATATACAGACAAGCATGCTAACTGAAGATATGTTTGACCCAGAATTTTTGTGATCTTGTATAAACAATGGTTTTTTGTGTAAGGTCACTTAGAGCTGATATTTGAAACACTCATGTTTTGTGTCAGAACTGATATTGAATCTTTATAAGTACCCTATAAAGAAGCAAATAGTTTAAATTATAAACTGCTTTTCAGTTATAAAGACAGGCTGTTTGCCCAGATAGTTAGAACCACTTAGATATATTGATATTTAATAAAAAACACACAAGACTTTGCATAATTACCACCTATTGATTGCTATTTACTATTTTCACAAACCTACTTTTTCTTCAAATCAATTATCTCATTTATACAAAATCCTATAAACATTACAGTGTTACAATAAACAAAAGATGCTTACTCACTGCAAAAAAATAGGCATCAAGCCATTCCCAAGAAAAAGTACACTCTCAATGTAATACAAATGACAATGGACAATTAAATACTCCAAAATAGCTAGTAATACTAATTTCTTGAAAAATTGATTACTTTATCTACTGATTTCTATATAACAAATAATTTAATGTAGACATAGTGTTTTTCTAACTAATAAGAGACATCAACATGTTACAACAAGTAGCTGAAATGCTAAGTGAAGTTATACAAACAACTTTCCAGGTAATCTAAGCTGTACAATGTTTGTTCATCATGTAGTGTGGTATGTTATATTAACTGTAATATTACCATGCCACACTGACATGGAACATGAAAGTGATCCAAAATATTGTCCAGCTTAAATTACCAAACAAGTTGTCTGTATAATTTTACACATTTTTACTAAATCCTACTTGTCAATAATGTCCTGAAACAACAAACAGTGGGCAATTTACTTATGCAAGAATCAATTCATTGATACGATTGTATTGAATCAGAAGGATATTAATCACCACATGCACAATAGTATATATCAATGTGTTACTACAAACAGAAAACAACAGCTTCATATCAACAAGCACAGTCAGTTGCTAATAATGTTAAAAATAAAAAACAATAGGTTTATCAAGTAAAGAAAGTTCTTCAGAAATAAGCAATGTGTTATTAAGTACAAAATATGATTAATAATAATAATGTGATGAGTGTATTCATTTTGTTTAGTCTCTATTCTTAAAACATTTTTTAACAAACAAGGACTGCAATCTTGAAAAGAGGAACATGTATGAATGTTGTAGGTAGAAGTTTTAAGAATTACCTTTATTTATTTTCTAGTTACTGCAGTTTTGACTTACACATACTATTTAATTGAATGATGTTACGACAACGGTAATCACGTGATGCTGGTAACACGTCATGAGTTTCTAGAAGGATCATCACTTTTCCTGGCAACTCTAGTCTTTTCCAGGCACCCTCTATTTTAGTATATAAGCCCAGCAAATAAAGTGAAGAGAAGAAGTGACGACATAGATAATTGCAGATGGACAGATAATTGAATCAAGTGAGAGGTAGTGACTGTAAGTAAAGTGCATGAACCATTGTGAATTATATCGTGTGTTAAAGTGACTGTGGAAATTCTGTGTATTGCAAAGTTGTGTTGAGAAAGAATAAACTAGTTTTATTTAAGAAAGGACTTGTATTGCTGAAGTTCCCGGGAAGAATTTATACCGGAAATTACAAACGACCAGAGACGTAACAATATGTATCTGTATGTTTGTATAAGAGTTCACTAAATGTTATTGCAATTACTCTCAAAGTTCTTAATGATCCCAGCAATGTGACAATACTTCAAAATATTTTGTTATATTCTTTGTTCAGAGAAGATACTGTAACAAAAAAGAAAATGAAGATTTGCTATGGATTATTACAGGCTACTGACATTAGTGTTTCATCATATGTCATTATTTTTGATTAATTCTACAAGCAAAAATTAAATTAACATAGTTTACATAACACAATTTCATCCTTTCACAGTATGGTTTACAACATGTGATTCACAAGCTCTCAATAAAGTACCCTTTGCTTATTAAAAATAAAGACAAAGAAGAAATTAAAGTATAATTAATTGTTTAACAGAATACTGAAAATTATTATGTAAGAGCAACAGCAGTTCATAGTTGCAACTTATAATCAATGTAAACTGTTTATTTTATCAACTTATAATCATGTACACTCTTTATTTTATCAACTTATAATCCATGTACACTCTTTATTTTATCAACTTATAATCAATATTGATTATAAGTTGATAAAATAAAGAGTGTACATTGATTATAAGTTGATAAAATAAAGAGTGTACATGATTATAAGTTGATAAAATAAACAGTGTACATTGATTATAAGTTGATAAAATAAACAGTGTACATTGATTATAAGTTGATAAAATAAACAGTGTACATTGATTATAAGTTGATAAAATAAAGAGTGTACGTACACTGTTTATTTTATCAACTTATAATCAATGTACACTGTTTATTTTATCAACTTATAATCAATGTACACTGTTTATTTTATCAACTTATAATCAATGTACACTGTTTATTTTATCAACTTATAATCAATGTACACTGTTTATTTTATCAATTTATAATCATGTACACTCTTTATTTTATCAACTTATAATCCATGTACACTGTTTATTTTATCAACTTATAATCAATGTACACTGTTTATTTTATCAACTTATAATCAATGTACACTGTTTATTTTATCAACTTATAATCCATGTACACTCTTTATTTTATCAACTTATAATCCATGTACACTCTTTATTTTATCAACTTATAATCCATGTACACTCTTTATTTTCAAGAATTTGTTTATATACACACAAAACAACTGCATAAAACTAACCAGAGAATAAAATTTAATCAAAATGAGTTAAACATTTCATTATCAACTAACACCTTCATCAATGGCACAAATAACTCGCTGTTTTAAGGTTTAGCTTAGTTTTTTGGTTTATTATCTAGTGTGCTTAAAATTAAAACTGAAAGTCATGTTTTCCAGAATCTTTGGATTTTATGTAAATATAACATGAAACTTTTGAATTAAGAAAAATTAGGGAAAATAATAACAGAAATGAACTAGTTACAAAATGAAAAACAAAACTGCAAAGACAACTGTTAATATTAAAACTTAGTCTTTTAACAGACATTTTCTGAGCTTATTGTCTCTTTTCATTATAAAATGAGCTGTTATACAAAAATATTATTGATTATACTTAGCAGAACAAAACAACTGTGTATGTCATAAGAACTTATATTGGTGAGACAAAAAAGTATATTTCCAAGGAATTTGTAAAAGTGAATAATTAACATAAACAGTAATGCAAAAGTATCATTAAGAGATAACAAAACACGAATGAGAAATAATATTTTTTTAAAAAGAATAACTTTACTAAAAATATCAACTCATGAAGTACATGTATATTGATGCAGTCCATGATTTTTTTTCCTGGTTTTAATTAAAGCTCATCATGTGATTTTAAGTGTTCGTCCTCATCATAAAGCCACTGATAATAAACAGCCCTGGGGTCTATCATCCAGTGTTTGTGAAAGGATACTGGAGGTAGAAAGCTAAGGTATTCAACAGAATAATCACTTGGTCGAGCCTAGTAAAGATTGAACATTAGAAGTTACTTGCAGCATGAAATTTAATAAATATTGATGAAAGATATAAACTTTAACCTGTTTTGAAATAACTTCAATTACATGGTCTTTAAAAGGTGTTTATAGAAAATTAAGAACAGGTAATACTTGATATTATACTAGAATGATCAGTAATAATTAATTTCTGAAGTCATTCCAAGCTTTTATTTTATCATAAAAATCTTTATGATTAAATAAGTTTACATTTAAAAAATTACTAAATAATACAAATTTTTTACCAAACAAAAATATTTCAAAAGTTACTTCAGAGAATGAAACAGAACATACATCTAATTACAATCAACCCACTTTCCATTCAAGAAGCAACTACAAGAATATGACAGGTTTTTGGTAAGTTTCCTTACCTTCACATATTGAACCCAACTATACCACAAATCTTAATTTGAACACTTCAGAGAGATGTCAAAAGCAGAAAATAATTACATACATTCATACTGAGCAGCTTATCAAAAATACAAATGGGCACATGTAAAAACTGAGGTCTCGATATAAAGCTCTACTTTGTAATGTCACAGATTTCTACCATGAAGAATGTATAAATTTCTACTTATATTGAAATATATTACTATTTTGAAAATATAGAAAATATGCAGTTTTACATAACCTACTATTTTCACAAAAACATATACAAGAATGATGATGATGACAAATGTTTTAGAAGATTTAATCATTTATTCTCTCCACAAATGATGCTTCACCTCTTCTCACATAAATAGCTAGAATCCCATGTTGAATAGGTGATGGAACTGATGAAAGGGAAAGAAAAAAGCATACTTCAAAAGTGTCCTAAGGACTCTCCCCAAGAGGAGATCTTTGGATTCAAAGATCATATGTGGGAGACTGCACCACTTCTGAACCAGGTATACTCTTCACCCATTATAGAAAGATGTCGCATATATGAGCAGAAAGATGAAGGAGCACATCCAAGTGGGAGAGAACTATGGCAGGATAGGGATCCGAACCATACAATATTTATTAAACTCAATCCCAGAAAACACAAAAGTGGGGAAGATTCCAAAACCCATGCCACTGGGAACCGACATCCATGTGGGGGTAGGATGAGGATCATACTGTCAGTAAATCAATTACAATCCAAAACCTAGCCACTGGGTACTGATATTCATCTGGGGTTAGGAAAGAGGATCATACTGCCGGCAAGTCAACTACATTCCAAAACCCAGCCGTCTGGTGGGGTAGGAAAGAGGATCATATTATCTTCACCTCAAGTTCATGAGACCAGAGGGAATCTCTACCCCCACCCCCCAGACCCATGAAGAGGGCACATGGTAACAATATGAGAAATAGACTGATTGATCCAGGAACCCGACATCTGGCACAGAAAATATGTCTGTGCAATGTAAGCCATCTCACTCAAATTTAAAATTATAGGAACTAAGCCAAGCACAGTAACATCCTTGGAAAATAAGAACATCAAGGGATAGCAGAATGGGAAGAACCAAATTAATTTGCAAGTACCTCCATCATGACCCACAACAGTATAATCTATAATACATGTGTTCATTGGTTCAGCTCTCTGGGAACTGAAATCCATGTGGGAGTAGGATGAGGGATCCCAATGAAAGGGGTGAACTGCAATTTTGATAGCTTACTCCAATGTTACACAGTGAAGGTTATCTCATCATCTACACCAGCAGAACATCACTGCCCTACACTCAACTGACTGGTTTTATAATCATTTATGTATATGCTACTTCAATAACACTTTCAGGAGGATGCCTTCATGGTCCCCCACTCCAGCATCTTGGAACTGGAAAGTGGTAAGGACTCTCGAACTCTACTGGAGGAAAAGGGGGGAGAAAGCTGTGAAGAGTCTGGAGGAACCACAACACCTGAAACAGTGCAATGTAGTCCATGTGTGAGTATGGTCTGGAATGGGCAAACTAATGAAGCAAAAAGATTGCTAGGATAAACCTACACGAGATCTTGTGTAACACCCCACCTCCACAGTGTGCACTGTGTGGTTATGGAAATCATAATATGTAAGTTGACATGGTCTTACAGTGCACATTTCAACAGTTAAAGAATACTTGGTCAGGCACCACTTGCCACAAAGCAGGATCCATATAATGAGTAGCAACAAATAAAAGAAAGAAAAGGGTAAAAAAGACCCCTGAAAAGGAAGAAAAGAGAAATAAAAGATAACTTAACCAGTCAAAGTCGCACTGAAATCTGAAGAATGGCTACAGGCAGAAGACGATAACCCAAATATCAAGATACCATGATAAGATTCAGATAGTGAGATATGAATGTACGAGAAGTAGTCCACATGCCCGATTGAAGAACCTGGAACAAAGTATGGAAAGAAGATCAAGCCAATCTAATTAAAAGTCAAACCCAATAGGTGAAGGTGGTAGGAGAAAGATCACAAACAGAGGATGTCTACCAAGGAATAAAGAGGCAGGAACTGGCACCACGGAATGAAGCTGTGTGGGCAATATAACAGCGAAGAGCACAAACAGGACATAGAAGTCTATCCAGATTAGACCAAGAATAAATGTGGGAAACTGAAGGAAAGGAAATTGGCAAAAATGAGGAGTTACCCTCTCAAGCCGCCAAAGTTTTGGGGAGGAAAGAACGATTCAGATAAAGGAGAATATATGTGGAATGATAAGAGTATGTGAAATGTTGATAACCTGCAATCAAGGAGATAGAAGACCCCCAATCAAAAAGCAAAGTGAGGAAATCTGTAATATGAGGAACAGTGGGTGGAATGGGTGAAAACCCCTGATACAAAGACCAATGGCAGAAAACATGCCATTTACATTGATAAACCTCCCTGGTGGAAGGGTGATTGGAACTAGCTAGAAAAGAAGCTACTGGGACAAACCAGATCTCTTCTCCAAGGACTGGATAAAAACCAGGCGTGAAGACAGGGGACAGGAAGGGCTGAATAAAACACCAGTGACCAGGAATGAAGTAAGAGGAAGAGGTAATATAGGGGCAGTTTAGCACTGAAGTAGCCATTGGAACCACGGTTCAGCCAGCCAGTAAGGAGCAATCAGAAGGACATCACACGGAGTGGCATGGATGATTGAAATCACCATGCGAAGAAGGAAAATGGCAGGATAGACATAAAAGTACTTGTTGGTCCAATCCTGACTGAAAGCATCTACAGCCAGAACAAAAGGATGAGGAACCAGAGACCAAAACAGAAGCAACTTGGTGTTGAGGGACGTGGCAAATACATAGTGGTGAGGAATACCCCACTGAAGGCAAAGGCACTGGAAAACAAGAAGATCAAGAGACCACACTGTTGGATAGACCTTGTCTGGATGGGAAAGCTGATCTGCAACAAGATTGAAAGCACCTAGAACATGACAAGCAATGATATGAATATTGAGTATGTGGGTCCAAACAAGAAGATTCAAAGTATTAAATCATAGGACTTGGTGACTGAGATAAGCAAACACTGTAGAATTGTTGGAATGGATCATTACCAGATGATTCCTGGCCAGATAGAGAAAATGAACCAAAGCACGACATTCAGCTAGAAGCTCCAGGATGTTACTATGTTAAGACCTCTTGGCCACTGACCAACATCCTGGAGCTTCCTGTTGACTGACCCATGTCCCCAACCCCAAAGGGCACATCTGCAAAAATGTGTAAATCTGGACGAGTAGGAGGAAGCAAGACATCTGGCAACATACAAGTCTTGTCCAACCACCAATGCAGATTGCCGACAAGGGAAGGGAAAATAGGAGCATTCAAAGGATCCCACGCAAAATTCCAGTGGTTGTGAATAGACTAAATGGAGGATAAGAGTTGCCATAGAAGACTACATCCCCAAAAGCAATAAAACCTTGTGAACTGTAATTGAGGGAGCAGTATGGGCATGGAGAACTGAAAGCTCTAACGAATGAAGTTGAAGAGGAGAAGGTTGGGCCCTACTGAGCTGGATGCTGAAAAAACACCCAAATGGATAAGATATTGGGTAGGCAGAAGGAAGGACTTCTGCAATTTGATTAACTAGCTCATATGAGCCATCTCCAGGAGCAGCCAACGAGTGTGAAGGGTGGACTCCTGTTTGGAATGAGCTAACTGTAGCTAGTTGTCCACGTAATAATGATGAAAGTACAACCCTTGAACATGTGAGTGATGGATGAATGTTTGGTCACCCAACAAAACACATATGGGATTGAAGCAAGCCCAAAGAGTAGTGCGCGAAACTGATAAACCTCCCCATGATGAACGAACAAAAAGATAGATACACGACTGATAAGATATCCCGATATACAAGTAAGCACTCGTAACGTCCAGCTTGGTCATGCACAAACCTGGAGAAAAAGCCCACCTCAGGGTGAGAAACGACTCCATGGTAAAGCGAGGTAGAACCAGAAAATGATTGAGGCATGATAAATCTATCACAGTCTCCGATTTTCTTGGGGATGACAAACAGTCTGGAGAAAGATGATGGACACGTTCGATGGCCTGTTGAGAAAAGGTCTTGTACCGCCTCGGACAGACGTCAACAGGTAGTAGGATCCCGAAGCAATAGGAAAGAACTGGGTACCTGAGACAAAGGGGGGGGGGGAAGGAATTGTAGAACAAGCCCCTCAGATAAAACCTGAATAACCCACGGATCTGTGGTAAAAGGTGACCAAAGGGGAACAAATTTGGACAAGCAAGCTCCCATTGGACTGGAACCCACCAGGTAGCCATGGATACTGTTGGCGACATGACCATCTGTGTTGAATAAAATGACGAGATGAGGAACCCCTGGAGGGAGGAACAGGTAAAGGCTGAGAAGGACTAGGATGAGAAAGAGGAATGGGAGTCCTTCTCAGCTCCAACAAACATGCAACCATAGAGGAAAGGGTAGTGTTAATACATTGACTACACACGTGATTCCAAAGTCTCATGCACACACCAAAAACATATCACCAAAGAAAAAGGGGCCATACATAATTCCCTAAGATAAGGGGGTGGTAAACAAACCTGAGACGAGGCTGCATCTCTACCTAGGAGATCCCCACAATAAGAGAAACCATGTGTGTAAAAGCGAGAGCCGAAGGTAACAAACGTGTTAACGTGGAGGTAGTCAGGTAGAGGCTCTCCCTTGAAAACCCCTCAGAATCTCTGTGTATTGCCTCAGAAAGGAGATGGATAGTAGATAAATATCATAGAAGGGAAGTAAGGGTAATATAAGGGTGGGAAAACTGGGCATGGGATAAATGACCAGGAAAATCAGGGACTGCCCTTCACATGGGTAAAATCAACCCCAACTGCCAAGAGTCGAGAAATGGACAGTCAGCCAGATAGTACGCTAATGCAAACTGATCTGTAGTCTGTGGAGGATGAGGCATGCTGGCACCCTCAACCAACTGAGAAACAAAATGCTTAGCATGAACCTTAATATCAGGGGAAGGAGGAAAAACCAAATGCTGAGAGGAAGAGGTATCATGCAACAAAGAAGGACAGGGATTTTAAGATATTGGGAAATGGACAAAACATCACATACCTGAGAAATCATGTCTAAAAATGCCATATTAGGCCAAGCTGATTCCGTAGGAGGGGCATAGGAGGACACGGCAAAATCCTCGTCATCCCGAACATGTTCATCTTATTTAGGAGGGAGTGGGGCAAGTTCTGGAGAAGGAGGTTGACCCATATAATGATCAATATCATGGCAAATAATAGCACATAAATCCAATGGGTCTCCCCCACCTGCAGCCTGTGTGATAGTGATACCCAAAAAAGTAATGTGAGCCTCACAATTCATGACTGAAATGTAAAATCAAATACATATGTTTGATGTAAACAAAAAAATTCGAGAGTAAAAAAAAACTAGGAAATTAAGTTAATTGCAAAATCGTCAACAACGTAAAGATAAAAAAACAAGAAATGAAGAAATTCCACTTTGGAAAGTAAACTATTTAAATTCATGAATTCAAACAATATGAAGTGCACAAAAAAAAGTCTTGACACCAGTACTGCCAAATGAGAAGTGAGAGTTCAGTAGAATTGAATATAGGGAGTAACCTGCTTCAAGGGAGTATGTCACACTCTTATTGGTGGAGGTTTGTCGCATGATGATTTACATGCGAGACACACTGAAATCAGACAATTCCAGATGGTTGAAGCTTCGAGGCTTGTGGCATGCGCAAACAAGTTTTTGCATATAGAGGGCAGCACTGAACAGGAATAGCTATTTATATGAATGGAAGTAATGTACCGTATTGGAAAGTGGGATTTACTGTCATTTTTATAATTCCCTCACAGCTGAAGGGGCAAAGTGCATTCAGTGGTATCACATCTTGAACTCCAGACCTTCAATTTACAGCCCAACACGTAACCATTATACTACACCCAGCCCTTCACCTGTTGATAATTAATAAACACAGCACACATAATGTACAAAAAATCAATCCTTCTGTCACACGAAAACACTATTGTGCTAGCATACAATTTAAATAAGTACATATACATACAAGATTCAAAATTTTGTCTTTGTTTAAAAATTATTAGAAATGTTACAAGGCTCCCTCACATTGTATTAAATTTTTAGGAACTCAGAGGAAGACAACTTGCTTGCTACATGAAATGTGAGAGATTCAAAGAGAGAACATGCACTAGCTGGCCACTTATTTGTAAAAAACTATATTTATTTGCATATGCATATAATGATAGTATTATATATACTATCATTATACACTAACTAACCACTTCAGTGATATACACTGACTAACCATTTCATTAGAATCTCTACCTATATCAGTTAAATAAGTTTTTTCCTTTCAATTGGAGTCAAACATGAATCACTGTGATTGTTTTGTCAGCTGGATTCTCAAGCTGACTTTTAATAATAACCTTCTTTAGGATACTAAAAATACGGAAAAGAAACTAAAAAAAATGTGTACAAAGTACTCCCTACATAAAATCATGCTATAAAAACTGACCTGATGAAATTGTAAAGTGTGTGTTACAGGAATATTTAGAAACTGCAAACATTGACCAAGAATCATATCATCTGGAGCATCATCTGTTGGACAGTCACATAGTGGACTATTTACAATCTTCTTTATTGCAGGCAAGCTGAATACCATTCTATACAACAAAGAAACAGAAAGGTATAACATACTTGTATGGCTTTCACTAAGTGTGTGTCTAGAAATAGTGATGCTTTAACTAGCTAATAGAGCATGTCAAGTATTAAGCATGGTTTCACTAACTAATGGAGCATGTCCAGCAATAATTGTGATTTTCACTAACTAACAGAGAATACTCAGCAACAAAAGTGTGGCTTTCATCATCTAACAGAGTATGCCAAGCAATAAATCTGACCACCACTAACTACTGGAACATGCCAAATAATAAGTGTCTTTCATATACTAACAGTACCATCACATTGAAGGATATTTCTGCCAATACTCTGCTTTGTACTTTTGGTGAACAGTTTTAGTAGGCTTTTTTTTTTTTCATTAGGCAGAGTTAATACTTTATGAAAATTTATTTTATTCATAGATTTTGGTTTAATGAAATAATTACTTTTTATTTCAATGCTTTCATACAGACAGGCATTAGGGGAAAACACTTATTGCATGTATAATAAACATGGATATACACAAATAGCAAATATTAGTACAAAGCACAATATTTAGTTATAGCTATTAAAATAATGCAACAGTTGGTATCTCTAAACATGCTTCTGGATAACAATGTATAAATTTCTATAGTTACACACCCATACATACATCAAGATAAGTATTTTCTATTCTGTTTTTTGCAAGAAAACATTAACAGCAAAAACTTTACAGATCTTAAACTAATAATGCTTGGAGATGGCTTGAATGGGTAATGAAAAAAAAAACACACTCTAATATAAGTTTTTTCATACCCATTCAAACCGTCTCCAAGCATTATTAGTCTCAAAGTGGGTTCCTCGTCATCGAATTTGAGATCTTAAAACTAATTTACTACTATTTGTAACATGACAAACAAGATATATATGACCATAGCATATTAATCAATTCACAGACTTAAGAAAAAAATCAATAATTTTTTATCAATATTTAAACAAATTTAAAAAAAGAAAGAAAAGAAAGATAGTTTTAAGTAACGTGTTACTTCATGTTCTTCATACAGTTATTTGAAAAAGTTTGATTTTACTGAATTAACAAAAAATGAGAGAGCTTTTGAAAATGTATTATTGCACGACACACCAAGGAAAATGTATTATTGCACGATAGTACCAAATATAATCTATTTGTAATTTAGTGAGTTGGAGTAATAATTATGGAACAATGAAAAAGAAAAAAATTAACCCTTTTTTTTCTAAAGGTTCAAAGTATTGCAGCTACTAGTTTTCTTAACCACTGTGATGTTAGGTTGATGAGAGTAATATGCTTTCTTATTTGTTTTCATTCTTAAATGAGTTTGATGATTGCATTTGTATAATCAGGGTACAGCAAGTCTAAATTTTCCAAGTTCAGAGGATTTCATTTCTCTATTATAACATTTCATGTCAAGTAAAAATTTTGAACTTTAATTTACAAAATTAATAACATACTGCCATTTATAGCTAATTATTTAATATTCTTAAAATGTTTTGCATATGTATTTCATATGAAAAATCCTTTGTCAGATATGATGCAAAAAAACTATATAAAAAGAAGGGAAAATAACCAAGATTCTTGTTGTTAAGCAAAATGTAAGAAACATTCTTACCCTCCTCCTCCTGTTATGTAATCATAGCCATTACCAGATGCTACACTGTAGCCATATCTTTCTCCAAGAGCTACTGGTTCTGTATGATCATAGCATCTCAGGAGTTGAAGTAACCTTGACATGCTGGAATGTACATATTTTCTTCTGATAAAGCAGTCTTGTAAAATTATGCTATTTACACAATTTTTGTTAAACTAGTAATCAAAACATACAATATTTATAAAATAAACGATTACAATAAAACATGGATAACAACTGCTGCAACTAACATTTTAAACCTTCACTAACTTTAAATAAATTTAAAAGCAAATTTTACTCATGCAACTTACCTAACTTTAACATGCCACTTACTTGGATAATGGGCTGTGACCCTAAAGAAACACATTAGAGGCAATGATGTATCACAACCCATTTCCTAGGATACCAAAATGCACTATTTATTCTAAGGTATCAAATCTATATCTAGGTAACCATTTGTGTGTGTTCTGTAACTATATTTCATCCAAGGAAAAATAGCAAATTAACATGAGTTCAGGTTAACAGAATACAAAAATTACTTATATTCTACTGTATGTTTGGATTTACATCCAGTTCATATATTACTGCAAAATTACTTAACATTTGTTTCATAATAGCAATAAAACTAGTAGATTAATTAAAGGTTGTTGTCACCTCTCTCACTAAATTATTTTGTAGTTAAGTTTAAGTTTGTGTATTGCTGTTTGATTGTGTATAAGCAGAATTATATATAAACACACATCCCACTCTCATATTTCATAAGGTAGTTTTATCATATTCTACTTTACTTTGTGTATGTAGGACAGCTGAATGAATGTCACATGGAACAGAGATACTTATAAATAAGTTATCCAATTTTCCAATTGGTCAGATACAGAAACAATGTGAATTGTAAACACAGTTTGGCATTTTCAAGTAAACTTGTTTCTTTTTTGAAGCACTAAAACTCACTTGTGAAGTCTCAGCTTCACTCCATTGTTTTAAATTAACAGATTCTGACCATGTTTGAGATCTTCATTCAACCTTTAAGCAGAGTTTATTTTTAATTATACAAAAAGTTCTTAGTTTTCTTCACATTTTGGTACAGTTTACTTCTTCACCCATTTTATATTTCAACTTCCTAATGACTGGCTGTTCTTTTTCTTCTGTCCATGAGGTGTTTACTTTCATTCCATTTCAGGTGATATCTTGTTTCTTTCCTTCTATCTGCAACAAATCACTTGATATTTAAATTTCCAGCTATTGTGATGATCAGGTAAATGTGTTCTTGGTTTATCATTAAAATACAATATAAGTGTTAGGGTATTTCCAGAAATTTATGTTAATGTTTGTAAAATATTGAGTTCATTAATGTTTAATAATGTAAGTCAGATGAAATTCAATTTTATCCAGATTACTAAGTTCATATTACTTCAACAGAAATCTGTATTTTAGTGGAAATACATACTTTACTGGCATTGTGGAAAACATTAATGCTCACAAGTGGTTTATCAAAATTACTAACTATTAAATGTGTATGTGTGAGTTTTCCACAAGCTAGCTCTATCAGTGTCCTAGAACATCAGCCAAAAATAGTAAATACCCTCACTACATGTTAAATTGACAGAAAAATGGCTAACATAACCAGCTTCCAACAATGTATTAGCTTCTTAACCCTACTTTGTAATTAGGCTATTGTATATATGTTTTTGTACTATATACTATGCATAAAATGTGAAACAACAGACTAAACAAAAATAATGTACTAGATTCTCCCTATTAAGACCACCTTTGGGTCTGAACAAAAGTGGTCTTACTAGGGATCAACCAGTTCATCAATTAACTGTAAAATATTTGAATATTGAATTGTAATGTTATGTGTGATATTTCTTTGCATAATGTACATTCAAACTATTAATAATTATTCATTTCCTGAATATTTTCTATTTTCTTGTCTTTATTTTCATCATTCAAAGTATTTTACATATTTTAGTCACAGAACATGTGTGCATTTATATTTTATTACACAAAGTTGGTGATTTTGGATTGTGGTTTTTTGACATAGTGTTGACAATTTCACTTTGATCAATGTCTTCTACATTATTTAAATTGTCCATCATTTTCATGACTGCTGGGTTTTTTAGTGCAAACTTATTCATTTATGCAATGGATATCAACATTTGCGGCATTAACTGGATTGTGCACTCTTCTGAATCTGTAAACTGGTTGCTATCATTGTCTTCAGTGGAACAGTCACCATTCAGGTCATTGAGAAGTTCTTGTTCCCAGTTCTCACAGAACTCTTTGGTGGTGGAAAAGTCATTATCTTAGTCGACATATTTGTTGCGGTCAGTGATGACATTGGGAAGATGGTCTTTAGCGAGCTGTAGCAGTTGAGCCAAAGAAATGTTGTAGTCTTAGTCCTTGTTGTTGTCAATTGAGAATGAACCGATGAAACATTTTGCAAAACACTTTGATACTGTGCTGGTCTTGATTTCACGCAGGGCAGAATTGTTTCAAGCATAAAATCTAGCACACTGACACTTTTCACCAAGTTTGTGAACAACATGCCTATATCCATGTTTGATAACACAGAGCAGAGTAGGTAGTGGGCTTTGAATGCATGAATGATACCCTGGTCATGAGGTTGTAGTACTGGTGTTGCTTTGGTAGATAAGAACACAATTTTGACATTACTAAGATTCACTTGACTGTGCAATGTGGCATTCTCTAACAGCAAGATAACATTGCAGATTCTATGCTTTCATGCACATATTGAAGTCTGTAACCCAGTCTTGGAAGATGGTGTTGGTCATCCATGTCTTCTTGTTAGCATACCAAGCCACGGATAAGTCACTCTTTATGTTTAAGTTTTTGAAGCACCCAGGTTTTAGGCTCTTACTGGTCACAATAGTGTATTCAAATTCACCTGCACTATTGTAACATAATGCAACACTTAGTCTATCCTTTGATAGCTTCCCCCAGTGCAACTGTTCACCTTTTACACAAAATGTTTTGTCTGGTAAACCATGACAGTTGACCCCAGTTTCATCCATATTGTAGATGTCTCTAGGTGCATATCCCTCTATAATAGCAGGAAATTTGGCATTCCATCCCTTAACGGTCATGGCATAGCCATCGCCACGTTCACCATTGATTGTGAGTTGTGAAATGCTACGTCTGACTTTGAATTTAGAGATCCATCCAAACGATGCTTTGAAGTCAGAAAGACCCAGACTAGTGGCTGTTGCAAGTGCCCTTTCTTGCAACATAGATCCAGAAACTGGAATTTTCATAGCACATTATACCAAGACCATAATGATGCTTCAGGGTCATCACTCACAACTTTAGAACAAATGCATTTTCATGAAGACGGGCAATTCTCTTCAAACACTGTCATATATTCAGCCTTATGCTTCAAAATTTGCTGGATTTATGTTTTGCTGACATTGAAATTTTCAATAAATTTCATGTGCGATTGAAACAGAATAAACTGATGTTTTACTCACTGACTGACTGGGTATTTATACACAGTGTATCTGTCATGGTAATGTTATCAAAGAGTATGTGAAAATATTGCCCTTTCAAGTAGCTTCTTTTGTGGCTGTCTCTTATTAAATTTGTAACCAACAGAAAGCCTAGATTTCAACTGATTGATTGCAATATGATTCATGTCACATGATGTTACAGATAACTGACAATTTAGCTGATGAGAAACAAATTTTTCCCACAAGTACATAGCGGAGAGCTAAATCAAATTTCTACTGCTCAAGTCACATGATTAGAGAGTCAGAAAAATTCTGACAGATACCTAACTTTCTCAGCTGTTAACAGCTATTTTGTGTTCTTCCTTGCATTATTTACTCAAAGAAAAAAATTAATTTGTGGACCAGTAGCATTGGTGAAAGTATTAGGTCTTACATAGAAGGTCAGTTAACAATAACAAAAAAAGGTTACAGAGGTAAGTGCTATATTTCTTATTTATTATTATATAAGTACCTAAAAATTATAAAATATTAGGCTAGGTAAGGTTAAATTAGGTAATATAAATAAATATAATGATAATAATAAAATTTTTCTATGAGGTACGCTCACTAGAACTAACAGCTCACAAGCAGCACAAGCTTTATGTAACATGATTAGTGTAACATTTGTTTCATGTTACTGTGTATTTTGAAACTTTTTATGGTGGGAATTTTAAAAATCATGGTCCAAAAGGCAATAAAATTTAATTAGAAACACCAGAGTAATTTAAAAGTGACACAAATTGAGTGTTGTCAAATATTGAACACGACTGAAATCAACAATGACCACTCCTATTAATGTTTACCATAAAAAAAAACAGACAGAGGGTAGTTTTCAACATGGAAAGTCAACAATGGCCTTGGGACTAATTTCAGTGGTCATAGTATGGAATAGGGGAGTGGTCGGCCTGGGGAAATATTACATAATGGTAAAGATAGGCAAATTGTTGGGACTGTAATATTTTGCCTGCAATGGGGGTAGTGGTCTCTTTGGGGAGATGGTTGCTCAGGGAGAGTACTGTACTACTATGGACAAAATAATGTAACAGAAAAGAAGTTAAAATTAACAGCAGTGTTACCAAAATAAATTTATGGATGAACTGCACCTTGAACTGTGTTAGTCTAAATCCCCTATGTACCAAATACTGTGTTGGTACTAAAATGGAGGTTACAGATATAGACGTAGACAACTGGGTGGTCAAGTGAGCAGGTGTATAAGATACTGAATGGACAAAATGGTCAGAATAATTCAATCACAAGCAAAAGTACCCATCCCTGGTGATGAAAAAAGTTAATCTATCAATTTAAATTACTTCATGGACTTTAAAAAAGTTAACTGTGTTACACTCTTGGTTTCACTCTGAGCCACATATACCACCCACTATGAAAAGTAATTGTTGAGAATTGTGCTAAGAGCAGCTCAACAATAACACACTGTAAATCTACATTTTTATCCTTTAAGTTACATCACATTTTGAAATGTATATAACAGTGTGATTAATTCCTAACAATATAGTGTAAAATATCCTGCTTGCAAAATAAAATTTGGCATCAACATTATTTATGCCTGTTCTCCCATCATTTCAAAAGTGAATGTTGAGTTCCGTCTGGGTGTGCAGCTTTTCAAACACAGTGCAGGAAGTGGCTGCCATAAACAGGAGAAAGACAAATGTTTGGACAGACACCACAATTCACAATATATAAAATATCTACGTAAATGTAAAAATCAATGTTACTTGAATAGAGAAGACCAGCAATAGAAAACATATAGATACTAGAAATAAATGACTTACAACACCAAATTGTTGTTTTTCATTAATTTTCTTTAACCTTTTGCTCTACAGCTTCTTCAGAAGCATTCCACTAAAACACAAACCATAACACACAGTAGAAAGCTTCAAATGGTTTAAATAATAAATTCTAATTGAATCTATAGTAGATTAAGTAGTAAAGCTAATTTTCTGTCAGTGTAGTTGGTGGCTTTAAAGAAGTAAGACTATAATTCTTCAATCTTCTGTTCTTAGTTCATTTTTCACATATTTTACATCTAGGTATATGAGTAGCTAAGAAATCCCAATATTTACATACCAGTTATCTATACAATAACGTTTAAAACAATTAATGATAGCACAAATAAATAATAATTTTGATAATTAAAATACAATTTTCAATATCATTGCATATTATACTGCTTATGCTGCTAATTATAATAACTAATCTGATATGCTCATTAATAGTTCGAGGCACATGTTAGTCTGTCTTTTAAAAACTTACAGTAATTTCAATACCTGTGTCACTCACATATGACAGTACCTTAATAGAGTATCATCATCAGCTATGACAATCCACTTGTAGTTGCTAGTCAGACCATCATTTAACAAGTAGGATAATATAGCCATGGTCTTAGCACAGTGCCCATGTGGTGTGTTAGGGACTCCTAAGTCATGGGTGGGAATTTTAGGGTCATTTTTATTGCTGAAAAACTTCACGTTAACAACATCTTTGGCCCAAGTATCTTGTACTACTTGTACTGGTAGAAAAAAAATATGTGTTAGTAAACAAATTAAACTTGAATATTTAGTAAACTACCATATTAATAAAGTATATTACTTCATGTGTCTTTCATTTTTAAAGCCCAGTGTAGTATTTGATTTATTAACAGCCTTCTGAAAATGAGTATCTACAAAGTTGCAGAACATGTTGAACACTTGTTCTTTCTAGATTACAATTCATCCTCCAAAGAATTGGATTTATAATTTGTCATAGTGAGCAGTGGATGCCTTTTCTATGTACCCTTTTCTATGTACAAGGTGAGACAAAGAAAAATACAAGTTTTGGAAATTAACAATTTTCAAGTTAACAATTCCTTATCGTATTGCTAATTAGATTTATAACTTCTTCCAGTTAATGACATATTTTTGTAAGTATTCAAAACCTGTTGTAATACTATGTTTATAATATTTCTCTTCTCTCATACCCAGACTTAAATTTCCACATAACTTTCTATTTCTGTAACACATGTGAAACACTATTAGTTACTGAAGGTTCAAATTAATATTTGCTGAGATCAAGTTTTCTTTTGGGCTGTTATTACACAAGAGACTGAAGTTCTATACTGCTATACTTTACATATCTTAGTATATTTATAACTATGTTGACAAAGCAGCATTTGCATTTATCATATATTTGCTGACAGAAAGTACTGATTTAAATTTGTATATATGCACATTTATACGTGGATGTAACAGCTTTATATGATATTGTACAAGCTCAACGATGAATGAGATTACCACTAAAACTCACTCAGTGATAATAAAATTAATTAAAAAAAAACAAGAAGATCACCTTTTGTAACCTAATAATTTTCTTATGTAGTACAACACCAAACCAACCATTTTGTTGAACCTGTGTATCATACAATAACAATATAAGTTTAATGTAAAAATCACCCAACTTGTCTAAAGTAACAATAAAAATCTAATGAATCTCTATAGTGGTTAAACCATTAAACCCTTATATATAAGTACATAGCAGTCCCTCCAAGATAACACACTTACACAACAGTATTAAAAAGTTCAAAACATATTTCATAATTTCTTGCATAACATGTTGTCTTGTACATCATATTCATAAGGCAAATCCCAAGTTTTATTAATAAGGTAGGACTGATCCATTCAAAAGGTGTTCATTTGTTCATTCTACAGTATTTTGATCCTTACAGGCTTATATAAATGCTAATAATAACTTTGATCCATTTATAAAATGTACAAACTACAATACTTTGATCTTTCAAGTTTAAGTTGTTTGAGACTCATAACACAGGTTAAACTAACATCTAGCAGACTATTCACCATGTTAAAAAACTTGCTTTTTATTGCAAGTCTTCAGCCCTATAACCACTGAACACTATCATAAATAATACCTAATTTAAATTTGAAAAAACTGTATATTCTTTTCATGTCTACCAGATACCACTGGCCAGATGAGACTGGGGTATTCCTGATTTAGATGAAAAGCTGAAATTTGGATATTCCTGGTTTAAAAAAATAGCTGAAACTGGGGTATACCTGGTTTAAAGGAATAGCTGAGACTGGAGTATAACTGGTTTAAAGGAATAGCTGAGACTGGAGTATAACTGGTTTAAAGGAATAGCTGAGACCGGGGTATACCTGGTTTAAAGGAATAGCTGAGACTGGAGTATAACTGGTTTAAAGGAATAGCTGAGACTGGAGTATTATTTGTTTGGAAAAATAGCTGAAACCGGGATAATATTTGTTTAGAGAAACAGCTGAGACTGGGGTATACCTGGTTTAGAGGAATAGCTGAGACTGGGGTATACCTGGTTTAGAGAATAGCTGAGACTGGGGTATACCTAGTTTAGAGGAATAGCTGAGATTGGAATATTCCTGGTTTAAAGGAATAGCTGAGACTAGGGTACACCTGGTTTGGAGGAATAGCTGAGACTAGGATATACCTGGTTTAGAGGAATAGCTGAGACTGGGGTATACCTGGTTTAGAGGAATAGCTGAGACTGGGATATACCTGGTTTAGCAGAATAGCTGAGACTGGGGTATACCTGGTTTAGAGGAATAGCTGAGACTAGGGTATACCTGGTTTAGAGGAATAGCTGAGACTAGGGCACACCTGGTTTGGAGAAATAGCTGAGACTAGGGTACACCTGGTTTAGAGGAATAGCTGAGACTAGGGTACACCTGGTTTGGAAAAATAGCTGAGACTGGAGTATTCCCATTTTAAAGAAAAACTTAGACTGTGGTATTCCTGGTTTAGATGAAAAAGCTGAAATTGGGATATTCCTGGTTTAAAGAAATATCTGAAACTGGAGAATAACTGGTTTAGAGAAATAGCTGAGACCTTTGTAAGTGGCTCCAACTGCTTTATGTTGAGGTTTCTGCTGTTGTTTGCTTATAATGGACCTGCACTCCTTTGCAATGTGTCCCATTTTATAACAAACATAGCATCTCTTTTCCCTTCTGTCCATTAACTTCCTGTCATCTTTGGTAAACTACTGCTTACTGGTTTCAAATTTAACTGGACATTATTGGACTTGCCAGTTATACTACCTCCATGGGCTTCCATATACTGTTCTGCCAGCTTCATCATTTTGTCTATACCTTTTGGTGCTCTCTCCTTTAGGAATAGTGACATGTCAGTTTAACACGTGGTCATGAAATGTACATGTACTAATAGGTCTGCCAGTCCCTCAAAACTATTTTCACATGTCAGTCCATCTGGTGAAATATCACCGCAGATGTGCCACAAACTGAAATACAGTTTCTCCAGTGTTGGGTTTGACTCCTCTGAACTTCTGACAAATACCTTCTTCAGTAAGTTCATATCGTTTCAGTAAAGCTACTTTTAATCTGTCATAATCCATGGCATCTTCTGACGTCATGCCCGCATATACTTGTAGGCCTTTTTCTGTGAGACGTGGGCTGAGACAGACTGCCCAGGTGCCTTTGTCCTAGTTCTGACTTTAGACAAATCTTTCATATCTCTCCAGGAAAACATCCATGAATATTTATGTTCATCACATTTGGGCAGTTTGGGTCAGCTAGCCCTAACTCCATTGTCATTCTTGGGTCCTTCTTCCTTCAGTTGGGTGAGTTTTTCTATCTCAATTTGTGCTCTTATTTTCTCTATTTCTAGTCTCTCTTTTTATTCTTTCTCAATTTGTATTCTCATTCTTTCTCTTTCTAGTTTCTCCTTTCTTTCCTTTCTTCTTTCTCAATTTATATTCTCATTCTCTCTATTTCTAGTTTCTCCTTTCTCTCATTTTCTTCTTTAAGCCTTTCTCTTTCTTCTTTCTCAATTCGTCTCTTCAGTTCTTCTCTTTCCAGTTCTTGTTGTTGTTTAAAAAAACTCTCGTAGTTCACTGTCTTTTAACCCAAGTTGAGATCCTCTTTCTACCCATTTATCAAAATCTGTTGACATGGTTATATAATGTAATTTTAATCTCTACACTATTTTTTTTGTTACTACTACAGTTGTGCTTATATAGGTAGGCCTACTTATTTTTGCTGTTGTTCACATGTTCTTCTATTGCCATTTACCACCATATAATCCTGCCTGTGGCTCACCAATTGTCAGAATTTAAAATAATATATATATATATATAACTTTCCTTTTTGCCAATTGTCAAATAGAAAGGTTTTTAGTTATATTTCTTGATAATATTAATATATACTATGTTGTTGTTGGGCTTTGGGCTTAGGATTCTTCTACAGTAGGTATCTGTGACGTGTTAGTGATAAATTCAACAATGAATAAACAGCATGCACTTCACTTGTTTTCAAAATAATATATATATATATTCAGAACAAGTTAACATATATGCAATAAATTCTTCAACACTAGATAATATGGGCATATGATAAATACTATATATGTAGTTCTCTCTTTCTTGTCAAATATCTATTTAGGCCTATTCAATTACTTTAGAATTTCAGTTAACAAGCTGAACTATCTTCTCTATTTCTATCACACTAGTATTCTCTGTGATTCATTTACAATTGTGGCATAAGTTACCGTAATTGTTTGGTCTTCTTTCTTCTGAAAATCCTCTGTTCCTTTTGTCAAAGTGCACTCAGGCTGATTCAATTACTTTAGAACCATGCTGTGACGGAATAGAATTATTTTTCTAATCTTCATTTCTACTGTTAGTTTCACTCTAACATATTACATGTTAGGCCTATCACTTTCATGGTACTTAACTTCACGCCAACTTTATTCTCTTTCGCTATTATCTGTTTGCTGTTACTGCTCGTCTCACACTATTTATATCTTTATCACTTAATCGTCTGTCTGCCTTCCATATTCTCAACACCAATTTATTGTACGTGATGTTCGATAATCTCAACATCAATGATTTATTAACAAAACTTCCTACAATCATCTGCTTTTAACTCTTGTTATAACAAAAACTAAACAATAATAAAATATTCATTTTAAGAGGTTAAGAGGAATAACTGATATTGGGGTATTCCTGGTTTAGAGGTAAGCTGAGACTGTGGTATCAAGATTTAGAGAAATAACTGAGATTGGAGTATTTTTGTTTTATAAGAGAGAGGCTGAGACTGGGATTTTCTGGTATAGAGAAATCAAAACAAAAATAATAACTAACTCCTCCCACATAATGAGAGTTTGGGCTGTATAAAATTTTAGCATGAGAAAAAAGTATGGAAAAAAGAAAGAAACAGGTTTCATGAACACAAGTACATGCTATTTATTTTGCATTCCTCAACTGTTTTCCATTTCGATACTGATGAAATCAAAGTCAAATAAACTAAAATGAAATTAAAATATGATAATTGATGGTTAGCAAACACAATAAACAGCCAACATGGAAACACAATACTTCACTGTAGGTCTTGGCCTTTCAAAAGCAGAAGCTAACCTTCTTGAAGACATTAAAACTGCTTTCAAAATTCACAGTTTCAGTGCTGAAAACCTATTAACAGCAACGATTTAAAATAAAAAAAACATCTATAGAAATCAATGCCTAAAAGCATC